GTCAGGAGTTCGAGACCAGCCTGGCTAGTATGGTGAAACCACGTCTCTACTAAAAATACAAAAATTAGCTGGGCGTAGTGGCCACACGACTGTAGTCCCAGCTACTCAGGAGGCTGAGGCAGGAGAATGCTTGAACCTGGGAGGCAGAGGTTGCAGTGAGCCGAGACTGCACCATTGCACTCCAGCCTGGGTGACAAAGGAGACTCCATCTCAAAAGAAATAATAATAATTAACCTCTTACCCTTTTATTCTCTCCCACCCCATCTACCTCACCCCGCCTCATGCCACATCCTATATCAAGATCACTTGGGAATTTATTTCCAAGTTCTTATATTAAGTACATTTAACATCATATTGGCTTTTATTCACACTTACCCATGAGTCTGCCTGCCTTTTTTGTTCATTCGTTCGTTTGTTCCTTCCTTCCCTCCTTCTTTTCCTTCCTTCCTTCCCTCCTTCTTTCCTTCCTTCCTTCCTTCCTTCCTTCCTTCCTTCCTTCCTTCCTTCCTTTTCTCTGTATTCTCTAACCTGTGCTGACCTTAACTCTGACCAGACTTCATTCAGTTAGGACCCAGCCTTTTTTCCCCAATTTAAGCAAAGAATAAAGGAAAAGAGAGTGTGGGTTGGTTCTCACCTGCTGGGTGCTAGAAAAATGAAGCTGAAGTCCCCAAGACTTCAATGTCCCCAAAGACTGGGAACACCTCACTCTCCCATTTCCACCCTCCTCAGCCCACCCCATGTCCTGGCCACTTCCAGAGACAGCTGTCTCCCTCCATCGACCTACCATGAAAAGCTCGGTATGCAGAACCCACACAGGCTGAGTTGGCAGTGTCTATAACATACACCGGGGCACCAAACACATCTGCAAGCACCTGAAAAGGACACAGAGGTTCTACTGTGGTGAGCCACTCCTCAGAGGGAACACAGATGTTGTGGGATGCACTTTCCAAGCTCTCTCCCTCATATGTCTTCTGACGCCTTCCATTCCACTTCGACTGCCTTAAGAGGAGTACGCTTGGTCATGCTACCCTGGTGATAATAGTCAGGATGACCTGGGGAAAGTCCCTAGTGGAGGGCCACAGCTCCCCAGGCTGTCCCTGTACTTTTTAGCCATTTCACCAAAGACAGCAGAAGATTTAGGAAGTATGCTTAGCAAATGGCACTGAACTAGGGCTGGAGACAGCTGGGTATTAGACTAATATTAACAAGCCCAAACAAACCCAAACTAACAAGGGCATGTTTCAAGGGGATAGTGGTGAAGTTTCCCATTTAGGTTCAAAAATAAATTGCACACATTTCAAATGGAGGACCTGTACTAAGAGGAGTTCACATGGAAAGAACTTGTGGGAGGTCTTAGTTGACCAGGGATATTGTAGTAGATGCCACTGATGCCTACACAGATCCCCCTCACTGGACCGTTGTGCATCCCGCCCCAGCTGCTGTGAGTACTGGCTACTAATGGCTTACAGCACTACTTCCTCAAGAAAGCTGACCTTGGCTTAGCATAGGCCACCACTCACAGGAAATTTACTCACCCTCCCTAAGGTGTCCTGTTGGCCCTTTGTCGCAAGGTAAAACCAGTTCTGTGGTATAATTCATGTTCTATAGTCCTGTCTCCCCACCAGGATGGAGGGGAAGTAGACTCCAGACAAGACCATATCCTCACTTATTCTTCTTCCTCTGCACTACCCTGAGTCCCATATTTTCTTCTTCCTCGGAGTACTCTCTCAACAAACTGCTTATAGAAGAATTCCCATTTCAGGCTTTGTTTCTAGAAAATCTTACCTAAGATAGGTAATCACAAGTGAACAGCTAATACAATTACTCTAACAGTTAAGGCAGCCCCAGGCTACACCCAAAAATGCACAGTGTCCCCATAACAGGATCTGACAGACCCACAGGTGACAGTCTGAGAGTCAGACATCTGCAGGTTGATTCTACTTTTGGTCATATGTTTCTGGCATAATGAAGGACCAGAAGGACAGTAACAGTCTGGCAACTGTGTTACAACAGGACTAGTTGGAGAATCGGCGATGGTTAAATTGGAAGGCAGAGGCCTTGAGGAAGACAAGAACACTGGCATTAGATGTGAGAAGGTTTGCCATGTGGAAGAACAGGCACTTTCCATGTGACTCTAGAGGACATGCTGGTGTCAGACAGCGGATTGTGCACAGCCGTAGAATTCACCTGCATGTGAGACAGATCCCACTCACAGTGTGAGCTGTAAGACAACAGAGCTGCTTCCTGGAGAGTGTGAGCTAAGAACTCCCCATTCCTGCAGGAGTGGGAATGGAGACTGTACTTCCTGTTGAGCCTCTGGCTCTTAGAAGTAGCAGACATAAGAAAATGTGGCACATATACACCATGGAATACTACGCAGTCATAAAAAAGGATGAGTTCGTGTCCTTTGTAGGGACATGGATGCAGCTGGAAACCATCATTCTCAGCAAACTATCACAAGAACAGAAAAGCAAACACCGCATGTTCTCACTCATAGGTGGGAATTGAACAATGAGATCACTTGGACACAGGAAGGGGAACATCACACACTGGGGCCTGTTGTGGGGTGGGGGAGGGGGTAGGGATAGCATTAGGAGATATACCTAATGTAAATGACGAGTTAATGGGTGCAGCACACCAACATGGCACATGTATACATATGTAACAAACCTGCACGTTGTGCACATGTACCCTAGAACATAAAATATAATATAAAAAAAAAAAGAAAAGAGAAAAGAAAAGCATGCATCAGAATGTATATTTACTCTTCAGTTTTCTTAGTGTACTGTGCATGTAGGCAAATAAAAATTTGGCACCAAAAAAAAAAAAAAAAAAAAAAGAAGTAACAGACATGGGAGAGGCCATGGTGTAAGTCCCACTACCAACACTTACCTGTAAGATGTCTCTATTGTGAGATGCTCCTCCTGTGGCCAAAATCTTTGTCTTGGACACTGCAAGGGAAAATAAAAAAAGTGAAATAGCTATGCCAGTTCTCCCAAGGCAGAAAGGGCTGTTTGTGCAGAGTTCTTCAGCTACAGAGGGTTCATGATGGGCCAATGCCTCCCGCTCATCACACAGGAATCTGGTAGAGATCCAAAGGTGGCTCTGTGCATGCAGGCCTGTCACATTCATTTGCTTGTGAGGTTGCTGCCCCACTCACCTTAACTGTCTTTAATAATTTTTTTTGTTTTAAATATCTCAACAAAACAGGAGCAGAAGGTAACTTCTTTAAAGATAAAAGTCATATATCCACAACTTATAACAAATGTCATTCTTAACAGAGATTTAGAAGCACTTTCTTTCAGGATAGTGTACCAGCCAGATTCCTAAATGGCCTCCACATAATCCCTCCCTCCTGATATTCACACCTTCAAGTAGTCCCCTCTCATATTCAATAGGGCTGACATGTATACCCAACAGAACCTTGTGTAAATGATGGAGTGTGAAGTCCAAGACTAGATGATAAAAGACATTGAGGCTTCTATCTCGCTCTGACACAGATCACGCTCTCTTGGATCACTAACTTTGGGGGAAGCTAAGTGCCACATCCTGAAGACACTCAATCAGCCCTAGGGAGAGGTCTACATGGGAGTGGACTGAGGCCTCCTGCCAACAGTCATGCAAGTGAGCCAGCAGGGAGGCAGATCTTCCAGCCTCAGTCAAGCCTTCAGATGACTGCAGCCCCAGATGACATTGTGACTGCAACCTCAGGAGATATCCTCAGTCAGAATCACCCAACTATGCTGAAACCAAATTCTTGACCCAAGGAAATTGTATGAGAGAGTAAACATTTATTACTGTTTTAAGCTGCTAAATTTTGAGATAATTTGTTACATGGCAATAGATAATGAATACAACTACAAACAAAACAGAGATTCACAGTATCCAGTCCGCTGTTTAACACAGACCTACCAGTCAATGCCACAAGATAACAAAAGCAACTAAAATGTTTAAGTATTGAAAGAAAGGAAAAGAAAACTGTCATTTGCAGACAATAGTCCATCTACTTGGAAAAAATAAAGAATAAGCAAACTAATAAAACTAACAAGAGTTTAATAAGTTTGCCAGATACAAAATCAACTTCTAATAATCAATGGCATTTCTAATAATAATCAACTAGCAAATGTGATAGAAAATAAATTATCATTCACAACAGCAACCAGAAATGTAAGGTAGCCTTACATATAAGGGAATACCTTAACAAAGAATTCAAAAGTCTCTATGAAGAAAAAGTTGAAATTGTTGTTAAAGTACAAAAAAAAAAAATCTAAATAAATTAAAAGATATTCCACGATCTTGAATGAATATGAATTAACATTATAAACATGTCAATCTTTTCCAATTAATGTATACATTCTATTCAACCTAAATAAAAATTCCAACTGGACTCTTTTAAGGAACTAGACCAATTTCTTATAAAATATTTATGGAAAAATGAAAACCTATAAACAGCTCAGACAATATTTTAAAAAGAAAAGCAAGGAGGGGATAATTGCTATACTACATATTAAAACATTATTATGGGCTGAAATGTGTCTACCCTAAATTTATATGTGGAAGTCCTAAACCCCAGTATCTCAGAATGTGAGTGTATTTGAAGATAAAGATAAAGACAGACATTACCTCTTTAAAGAGGTAATTAAGATAAAAATGAAGTCATTAGGGGTGGGCCCTAATCCAGTAGGACTGATGTCCTTATGAGAAGAGAAAATGAAGACACAGGGACACACAGGAGGAGACACAGGAAGAAGATGGCCATCTACAAACTAAGGAAAGAGGCCTAAGAAGAAATCAACCCTGCCGACACCTTGATCGCAGACATTTAGCCTCCAGAATTGTGAGAAAATTAATTTCTGTTGCTGAAGCCACCCATTCTGTGGCACATTCTTATGGCAGCCCTAGCCAACTAATGCAAAAATACTACAAAGCCACAATAATACAACAGGTTTTCTGCCTCAAGAACAAGACCCAATAAACCCATGAAGTAGAAACAGGAGTGTAGGTCGGGCGCCGGGGCTCACGCCTGTAATCCCAGCACTTTGGGAGGCCAAGGCAGGCAGATCGCTTGAGCCCAGGAGTTTGAGACCAGCCTGGGCAACATGGCAAGACCCTGTCTCTACAAAAAATATTTTAAAATTAGCCAGGCATGGTAGCACGTGTCTGTAGCCCTAGCTACTTGGGATGCTGAGGCGGGAGGAACACTTGAGCCCAGGAGGTGGAGGTTGCAGTGAGCTGAGACCGCGCCGCTACATTCCAGCCTGGGTGGCAAAGTGAGACCTTGTCTCCAAAAAAGGAAAAAAAAGAATGAAAGGGAGTACAGAGAAAGACCCATGTATATATAGGAACTGGATAAATGATAAAGGGGGCACTACAAGTAATGGGATAAAACAGACCACTTAGTAGACAGTGTTTGGAAAACTGGACCAACATGTGGAAAAAATTAAACTGGATCCCAAGTTACACCATTCGCAACGACTCCAGATGGATCAAAGTCCTAAATGTGGAAGGTAAAATTGTAACATCAACAGGAGAAACATAAAACAGTACTTCTATGATACTGGAGTAGGGGGAAAATATCTTAAACAATACCTCAAAAGCATAAAATGTAAGATGAAAAATTGATGAATTTAATCAAAATTCTGTTAAATTGCTGACACTATAAATAAGCAACAGACAAATGAGAGATACCTGCAACAAAAAACTGTCAACAACCTAACATTCAAAGTATACAATAAACTCCTGCAAATCAGTAAGATAAAGATAGGAAATCAAATAGAAAAATGGGAAAGGATGTACATAGCCAATTCAGAGAAAGAAACCAGTTACAAAGAGCTGCTCAAAATCACTATTAATTGGCTGGGCATGGTGGCTCACGCCTGTAATCCCAGCACTTTGGGAGGCCGAGGCAGGTGGATCACCTGAGGTCAGGAGTTTGAGATCAGCCTGGTCAACATGGTGAAATCCTGTCTCTACTAAAAATACAAAATTAGCTGGGCGTGGTGGTGTGTGCCTGTAATCCCAGTTATTCGGGAGGCTGAGACAGGAGAATCACTTGAACCGGGAGGTGGAGGTTGCAGTGAGCTGAGATCGTGCCATCGCACTCCAACCTGCCTAAAAAGAGTGAAACTCCATCTCAAAACAAAATGAAACAAAACAAAATCATCATTAGTTAAGAAAACACAAATTAAACTGACACTGAGATACCAGTTTGCACCCATCAGACTGGCAACAGATTTGAAGGTTGTTGCTGTGAAGTGTTGGTGGGGATATGGGAAAGAAGAACCCTCATAAACTGCTGCTGAGAGTACATGACCGACTTCATGACAGCAGGGCTCTCAAGCTCCTTCCCTCCACTCCCTCACACACAGCAGCAGACGCAGCAGCAGTATTTGTCCCCAAGCTAAAGTAAAGGATTGCTCATTAGTGAAAGTGGGCTACCAGCTGGGGAGGGTGCTGGGGGCACCGAGTGAAGAGGAACTTGAAATGACACTGAGCAGCAGGCATGGAGACAAACGTGGAAAGTAGCTCCACTCATCACACAAAAAGGCTGGATTCCTCTTCTAACCAGAATAAAATCCTGCTTATTTTGGGTTGGATAATTCTTTTTGTGAGGGATCATCCCATATATTGTAGAATGTTTAGCAGAATCCCTAGAATGCTATGTCCTCACATGGCTGAAAAGCAGAAAACAGTGAACTCACTCCTGAAAGCACCTTTATAGTGGCATTAATACCTAAGAGCCCTCATGACCTAAACACCTTCCATCAGGCCCATCTTCCAACACTGTCACCTTGGGGATTAAGCTTTCAACATGTGAATTTGGGGAGACACGGTCAGGCCACAGAAAATGCATAAATGGTTGTATAATCATGTGATGGAATATCAGAATGCAATGAAAATTAACAGCTAATAGCTATCTATGCCCGTTAACATGGATGAATTCATAAATAGGACATTGAGCTAAAGCAGCAAGTCACAACACATGTAGTATAATTCCATATATTATGAAGTTCAGAAAGGGCAAAAAACCACAGTGTATTTAAAGGAATGCATACACAGCTGACAAAGCCATAAAGAATTCCAGGGAAATGATAATACAAAAATCTGGATAGAGAGGGGAAGATGAGGATACACTGGAAGAGGAGCACAGCAAGATTCTAAGGTTCTAGCAATGTTCTATTTCTTTTTTTTTTTTCTTTCTTTTTTTTTTTCTGAGACGAAGTCTCGCTGTGTCACCTAGGCTGGCGTGCAATGGGGTGATCTTGGCTCACTGCAAGCTCTGCCTCCCGGGTTCAAGTGATTCTCCCACCTCAGCCTCCCGAGTAGGTTATAAATGTCCACCACCGTGCCCGGCTAATTTTTGTGTTTTTGGTAGAGATGGGGTTTCACCATGTTGGCCAGGCTGGTCTCGAACTCCTGACCTCAAGTGATCCGCCTGCCTCGGCATCCCAAAGTGCTGGGATTACAGGTGTAAGTAACTGCGCCTGGCTGATGTTCTATTTCTTAACCCGAGTGCTGATCATCAGATGTTTATTAATATGTTTTATAATTAGCTGTAAGATACATATACTCTGCCGTATACATGATATTTTTCACAATAAACTGAGCATAGTGGCTCATGCCTGTAATCCTAGCACTTCAGTAGGCCAAGGCAGGAGGAGGACTGCTTGAGCTCAAGAATTTGAGACCAACCTGGACAACAAAGTAAGACCCTGTCCCTACAAAAAATACAAAAATTAGCTGGGCACGGTGGTGCATGCCTGTGGTCCCAGCTACTCGGGAGGTTGAAGTGGGAGGATTGCTTGAGCCCAGGAAGTCAAGGCTGCAGTGAGCCATGATTACACCATTGTACTCCAGCCTGGGTGTATTCCTGCCTGACAAAGCCAGACTTTGTCTCCAAAAAATATAATAGGCTGGGCACAGTGGCTCATACCTGTAATCCCAGCACTTT